TGTGATTAATTTGCTAGAGCAACTCACAGAACTCAGGAAAACAGTTTACTTACTAGATTACCAATTCATAATAAAGAAGATAATAAAGGATACAGATAAATAGATGGCTGAAGACATACATAGGGCAAAGTCCAGAAGAGACTTCTGTGCAAGAGCTTCTGTCCCCACGGAGTTGAGTTGTGCTACCATCCCAGCACATGGATGTGCTCACTGACCCAAAAGCTCTCAGAACCCCACCCTTTTGGGTTTTTATGGAATATTTAAAATTTTATTTATTTATTTATTTATTTATTTATTTGGAGAGAGAAAGAGAGAGAGCATGCAAGTGGGGAGAGAGAGAATCCCAAGCAGGCTCTACACTGTCAACACAGAGCCTAATGTGGGGCTCGAACTCATGAACTGTGAGTTCATGACCTGAGCTAAAACTAAGAGTTGGACACTTAACCAACTGAGCCAACAAAGAGCCCCTGGAGTCTTTATTATATAATTAAGCTTATATAATTAAGCATGAATGATTAAATCATTGGCCATTGGTGATTGATTCAACCTCCTGCTCACTCCTCTCCCTAGAGGTGGGGGGTGGACTGAAAGTTCCAACCCTCTGTTCTTGGTTGATTTCTCCAGCAACCAGTCCCCATCCTTAGAGGCTTTCCAAAAGTCACCTCATTAATATAAACTCAGATGTGGTTGAAAGGAGCTTGTTATGAATAACAAGATACTCCTTTCACCTTTATGGATCTGGAGCTACCTCAGGAACTTGAGGAAAGATCAAATACTATAACAAAAAGTGTTCCCATTTCTCTTATCACTTAGGAAATTCCAAGGATTTTAAGAGCTCTGTGCCGGAAATGGAATGACCAAATATACGTTTCTTATTACAAATCACAATATCACATATACCTCCCAATTTCAAAATTTACAGCAAAGCAACAATAATGAAGACACTGGTACTGGCATAAGAATAGACAAATGGACAAATGGAATAGAATTGAGAGTTTAGAAATAAACCCACATGTCTATAGTCAACTGACTTTTGACAAAAGTGTTAAGACCATTCAATGGAGAAAGAATAGCCTTTTCAACAAATTGTGCTGGGATGACTGGATAGTCACATGTTCACATGTAACAGATGAAATTAGGCCCTTACCTCACACAACATACAAAAATTAATGCCATATGGATTACAGGCTTAAATTTAAGAGCTAAAGCTATAATAACTATTAGAATAAAACAGGTCTAAATCTTCATGACCTTGGATTTGGCAGTGGATTTCAGCTATGATACCAAAAACACAAACAACAAAGGGAAAAATAGGTAAGTTGAACTTCATCAAATTAAGACCTTTTGTGCTTCAAAGGACACTATCAAGAAAGTGAAGAGGGGCACCTGTGTGGCTCAGTCAGGTAAGTGTCTGACTCTTGATTTTGGCTCAGGTCATGACTTCACCATTTGTGAGATCAGTCAGGCCCAGCATCAGGGTCTGCACTAAGCATGGAGCCTGCTTAGGATTCTCTCTTTCTCTCTCTCTCTCTCTCTCTCTGCTCCTCCCTCCACTCATGCATTCTCTCTCTCAAAATAAATAAACTTAAAAAAAAAAAGAAAGTGAAAAGACAGCCACATGATGGGAGAAAAATCATTGCAAGTCATATAACTGATAAGGGAATTGTATCTAGAATATGCAAAAAACTCACACAATTCAATAATAAAATGACAACCCAGTCAAAAAAATGTGTAAAGAATCTGGAAAGGCATTTCTTCAAAGAAGATATACAAATGGCCAATAAACACGTGAAATTATGTTCAATATCATTAGCCATTAAGAAAATGCAAACAAAAATCGCAAGATACCATTCATATCCACTAGGATGGCTAGAATCAAGATGTCAGATAATAATAAATATTGATAAGGATGTAGAGCAATTGGATATTTCATACACTGCTGCTGAGGAGGTGAAATAGTCAGCCACTTTGGAAATCGGTCTGGCAGCTTCCCAGAATGTTAAACCTGGAGTTACCACATGACCTAGCATTTCTACTCCTAGGTATACCCTAAAGAAATGAAAATATATGGCCATATAAAACCCTGTATGGGATGTTTATAACAACATTATTAATAGCCCAAAGGTGGAAATCAAATATCCAGGAACTGATGAATGGATTAAAAATACAGTATATCCATACAATGGAGTATTATTTAGCCGTAAAAAGGAAAGTAGTACTGATATATGCTACAACATGGACAAATCTCAAATACATGCTAAGTGAAAGAAGCCAGTCATAAAAGATAACATATAATATGATTCTATTTATATGAAGTGTCCAGAATAGGGAAATCTATAGAAACAGATTAGTAGTTGGGGCGGGGGGGGGGGGCAAGGTACTTGGAGGATAGCTAAAGGGTATGGGGTTTATGTATGTATGTATGTATTTAGTTAGTTAAGTAAGCTCTATACCCAATGTGGGGCTTGAACTCATGACTCCGAGATGAAGAGTTCCATGCTCTACTGACTGAGCCAGTCAGGCACTCCACAGTGTTTCTTTCTGAGGTAACAAAATTTTTCTAAAACTGACTATAGTGATAGCTGCAGTTTTGTGAACATACTAAAAACCATTGAGTTGTATACTTTAAATGGGTGGATTCTAGAGTATGTGAAACATATCTCAACAAAACGGTTAAAGAAAAAAGATTGACTAGAATAGATGATTAAAATTTTTTTTTCATTTTTATTTTAGAGAGAGAGAAAGAGAGAGTATGTGGGGGAGAGGGGCAAAGGGAGAGAGAGAGAGAATCTCAAGCAGACCCTACAATCAGCACAGGGCCTGATGTGGGGCTCGATCCCACGACCCTCAGATCATGACCTGAACTGAAATCAAGTTGGATGCTTAACCCACTGAGCCACCCAGGTGCCCCTAGAATAGATGATTTCTAATGTTGCTCTCAGGCTTAGGTGATCCTTGCAGTCAGGATGGAACAAGGGCTAAGCTGATTTTCTCAAGCTCTTTATTTTTTCTAACTTAAAAAAAGTCTACTTTACATGGGTGTTGAGTTTGAACATTAAAGCTGGTTATCTCACCAATCCTCTTGTTAAGATTTAAGAACTGGGCACTTAAAAATTTTTTTTAAACAATTATTTACTTATTTTGAGAGAGAATGAGAGCATGTGTGCACACAAGTTGAGGAGGGACAGAGGGAGAGAGAGAGAGAGGAAGAGATAGAGAATCCCAAGCAGTCTCTGTGCTACCAGTACAGAGCCTGATGTGGGGCTTGATCCAACAAACTGTGAGATCATGACCTGGGTGAAAGCAAGAGTCGCTAAGTTAACCAACTGAGCTACCCAGGTGCCCCAGGACCTAGGCATTTTCTATCCTGTTGTCCAGTCTACATGATTTTCATTATCAAAGTTATTTCATGGGGGAAAAAAAACCCACAAAGTTATTTCATGGGCCAGGATGGCTCCTGGAGCTCCAGTCATTCTATTTGCATTCCAGCCAGCAAGAAAACAGAAGGGTAGAAGGGTATACCTTACATTAAGGACAATTGCAGTGTTGTATGCATCACTTCTTAAATCCAGTTAACTGGACCCTCGTTGTTGGCAAGTAACTGAATGTACTCAAATAAATAGCCAGATTTGTTACATGACCATTCACACAGCATGACCATTTTTCTATGGAAGAAAAGAGATGTTGAGAGACACCCAGCGGTTGGCCATGTTCCACAATTTAACCCATCAGCTACCTTTTCATCAATATCCCCAATTTGCTCGTCTCCTAGTCCTCTTACACACTCACTGACAAAACCCTAAGTCTGGATTGATACATCTACTCACCATCTCTACTCTTATACTTAATCCTCTGGAAAAAGCCATACAACTATATGGCTTTAAGTGTTTCTACAAATCCACGATATTTAACTATAGTTGGGCTCTTGACTCAGCTGGCTGACAAAAATTTACTTAAAACAATCTTTAGATTCTTTGATCCATAGCACCTTGTAAGACCTTGGATGTATTTATCACTTAGCTGCTAGCATGTAGTTTTAGTCACTAGAGTGGTCCTCAAAATAAGCTTTATAAAAGAGAGGAACTGGTATTCTGAGATAAGTAACTCAGAACATCGCCTTAGATCAAGAAAAGCAAGGCTGGTCAGTAGAAAAATTCTAAAGAAATAAGAACTGGCACTCAGAATTTTTTAGTCTTCTTTTAAAGAAAGAATACATTATATTAGCTTGTGTCCTACAGTGTGCAAATTCTTTTGGTTGTTTTTCAACCAATACATACGGGAGATAGATTTAATAATGAAGAAAGAATTAAGAAGATGAGATTGCCCCTGAAATAGTCAAATGCTGGTGGCAAAAATGGCAAAATCAGGAGTTTTTAAGAAAATATTATTTAGAAAGTAAAGAAAAACAGATGGAGAAATGTAATCCCAATTAAAATTAAATCGAGCGCTTGGAGAAACCAGTGCCTTTCTGGTGAGAAGATGACAAGGATGTAAACTGTGGCTAAGAAACAACCCCAGAGAATCTGGTAGTCACTGATTTTGAAGATGTAAAACAAGAGAGAACAGCTATGTGGCTTTTCTTTTTCTTATTACAAAATACTCCAGCTTTTATTAATTAGCATCTTGCATCTTGAAAGAAAAGAGACAAAAGACAGATGAGATAGCAGAGTTGGGAGTGCTCCCTGAATAAGCATCCAAAAGAGAGCAGACGGGGCTCAGGAAGCCATGTAAACAGGGGGAGGCAACACCCTCTGGGAGTGGGTCTGGACCCAGGGGTGCTCCAGGATCTGAGCCAGAGGCAGCTGTGCAGAGGGCTGGTATCTGAGCAGCTTGGAGATGAAGTCCTGGCCTCAAAAGACATTGACGGGGGAAAACCCACTCTTATCCTGGGGAGCATTTGGAGGTCCCAGTGTGTGAGATGCTCTTGAAGGGCGGATTTCTCACCAGCAGTTCATAACAGAGCATTCCAATCCAGATCCACCTTCTCACTGTATACATACATTGTTTCTGGGGTGTTTCTGAGGGCGTGGAGTTGTCTGCTCAGGCTGCTTCCTTCCACATCTTAAACTTCTCTTCATGCTTCAATCTCCTACATTTTGGTTTCTACCCTCTCTGTCATGCACAAACTGCTTTTGTCAAGAGTACCCACTTCCATGTTGCTAACTATGGTGACATTTTTGTGTCCTCTTCTTACTTGACCTTGACCTCTCAACAGCATTGACTTGGTCCTTATTCCTTCACTTTTCTTCTTCTTTTTAATTTTTAAAAATTTATTTATTTTTGAAGCACAGAGCACAGGCTGAGGAGGGCAGAGAGAGAGGGAGACAGGATCCGAAGCAGCCTCTGCACTGAGAGAAGACAGCCCTATGCAGGACTTGAACTCACAAGCCAGCTGTGAGATCATGACCTGAACCCAAGTCAGATGCTTAGCCAACTAAGCCTCCTAGGCATCCCCTCCTTCACTCTTCAATGTTTTGTTTTGTTTCCTTCAGATATTTCTCTCCTGATTTTCCTCCTACCACACTTACTGGTCTCTTTTAGTTTTCTTTCTTTCTTTCTTTGTATTTTTTCAGTTTTTATTTAAATTCCAGCTTGTCAACATACAGTGTAATATTAGCTTCAGGTGTACAATATAGTGATTCAACAATTCCATACATTACTTGGGGCTCATCACAAGTGCATTCTTTAATCCCCAGCACCTATTTCACCCATCCCTCCACCCACCTCCCTTCTGGTAACCATCAGTTTGTTCTCTACAGTTACCTCTCAGCTTTCTTTGTTGGCTTTTCCTCTTCAATTCAACCTTTATTAAGGGTATTACAGGGCTAGGTCCTGGACCCCCTTCTCTTCTCTGTTTGTGCCCTTTCCCTAGATGGTACCATCCATTTCCTTCACTTGAAATACAGTAAAACCATGGTTTGCAAGCATAATTCATTCTGGAAACATGCTTGTGATCCAAAGCACTTGTATGTAAAAGCGAACTTCAAGAACCATTGGCAAAGTCGTGATCATGTGACATTCGGCATCATGTACTGTTGTACTGCAAGACATCACTCATTTGTCAAGTTAAAATTTATTAGAAATGTTTACTCATCTCACAGAACAAGTTACTTGCAATCCAAGGTTTTACTCTACCATATAATCCTGGGGCTCCCGGCTGGCTCAGTCATCAGAGCATGAGACTCTTGATCTCTTGGTCATGAGTTCAAACCCCCTATTGTATGTAGAGTTTACTTTAAAAAAAAAATGCCGTCTAATGCTAATTTCCAGAGGAGAGTTGTTATACCTCCCAAGAAGTCTTTTCTTAACCTTGGTCTTGCATGCAATTTTCGACTTAACATTTCTATTCAAATGTCTCCAAATGTCTTACACTTAATATGTCCAAAATAGAACTCTTAATCTCCTGAAATTTCCTCCCAGCCTTTCCCATGTAACTAATGGCAAACCATCTTCCAATTGCCCAAGTCAGAAAATTAGAATTTGTTAATGATTCTTTTTTTTCTTCCTATCCCACATCTAATCCCAAACAAGTCTTAAGACTTCTATCTTCCCCTCCCCCCAATATATTATGAATCCATCTACTTCCCCTACTGCTACCACCTCGGTCAAGGTCATCATCTTCTTTCTCCTAGACAATCACAACAGCTTCTTAACTAGTGACCCTACTTTTTTTTTTTTTAATGTTTGTTTGTTTAGATACAGAGAGAGAGAAAGAGAGAGAGAGGGAGAATGAGCAGGGGAGATGCAGAGAGAGAGGGAGAGAGAGAGTCCCAAACAGGCTCTGTGCTGTCAGTGTGGAGCCTGATGTGGGGCTTGATCTCATGAACTGTGAGATCATGACCTGAGCTGAAATCAAGAGTTGGATGCTTAACTGAATGAGCCACCCAGGCACCCCATACTTTTTTTTAAAAAAAGTAAACTGTACTCCCAACGTGTGGTTAGAACTCGTGACCTGGAGATCAAGAGTTGCAAGCTCCACCGATTGAGTCAGCCAGGAACCCCCCTATTTCTGTTTTTTGATACCACCAATCTTTTTGCATCAGTAGTGATTTTTTTTTTCCTTCATGCCCTGCATGGCGCCCAACATGGGGCTTGAACTCACGATCCTGAGTTTAAGACCTGAGTTGAGCTCAAAAACCGGACGCTTAACAGACTGAGCCATTCAGGTGCCCCAGTAATGATGTTCTTAAAGTACAAATCAAATCATTTCATTTTGTGACTAAATAATCAAGTCTCCTACTGCACTGAGAATAAAACCCAAATTCCTTTTTCTTCTTTTTCTTTCTTTTCTTTAGGCTGTTGGGTAAAGGAATGTTCCTGAACAGGTTCAGAATCACTATATAAATTCTAGGGCTATCACAAACCAAGAGAAGGGACATATTTTGGCAGAAAGAAGCAGACTAAGAAATTTTGTTCAAATCTTGAAGAGCTGGGTGCAAGTCCAGCCTTAGGCAAAAATGTGAATTAGATGATATTTGTCTTCAGTGTTCCCATCCTCCACTTCTTCAGCCATTCAGTTCTTTCCTTGGGGGCATTTCTTCATCAGAATCAGAAAAAAATACAAAGCAAATATAAGTGTACATTTAAGTTCAATAACTTTTTGCATTTTAAACTTATTTCTAATTATGAGATGATAGACTTCTTTGTTTATAACCAAAGGAGTCTCAGACATCATTTTCAGGGGGATTAGAAAGAACAGAGGATTTAAAAAGTCCTTTCTGGCAGCCTTAAAAATCCCAGCTCACAACCTACCAGCTCTTCTGACTCTAAGGCTAATCCAGTTAGTAGGGTTATTTAAACATTTTTCAAAAGCATGCTGAGAAATGAAACAGAAATATCTTTTCTTGTTCTTGTGTGGTATGAAACTCATTTGCCTTGGAAAGTTTTTTACTCTGAGAATGCTTGCAGTTTGAAAGACCATAATTTTTTTTTTCTTTTTTAAAAATTGGGATGTGGGGCACCTGGGTGGCTCAGTCCGTTGAGCATCTGATTTCAGCTCAGGTCATGATCTCACAGTTCATGGGTTTAAGCCCCACATCGGGCTCTGTGCTGACAGCTAGGAGCTTCAAATTCTGTGTCTCTTTCTCTCCCTGCTCCTCCCACCCTCCCCGCCCCCAGTCTCTCTCAAAAATAAATAAACATTAAAAAATTTTAAAAAATTGGGATGTAATTGATATATATAACATTATATTACTTTCAGGTGTACAACATCCAAATTATTCTAACCTGCAAGGCAGGCATGATCCCTGAGTGTCCCCCCAGCATTGCTAATCTTTATATTGCAGTCTTAGGCCATCTACTCTTGGCTTATTAAGCCTCAGCTTCTGATTTTTTTTTTTTTTCACTCACCAAGCTCTTTTCTGCCTTAGACTTTTAGACAGTCCCTCTTCCTGGAAAGTTCTTCCTTCACATTTAGCATATCCAATTCCTTCAGGTACCTTAAATATTAAGGTGTATATCACTTTTGTATAGAGATTTCCACTGATCGTCCTGTTTCTGTTTTCTACCTCAATTTTATCCTTGTTTTTTCCCCGCAAACTTAAAAACACACACATTTATGCTGCTTATTAGGTGTCAGTTATTGTTCTGTTCACAACAATCTCATTATTGTCCCCTCTTTAAGGATGAGGCAACTGAAGCATACCCAAATAGTAAGTGGCAAAGTTGGATTTGACCAAGACGACTAGCTTCTGCTCTTAGCTGCTCTACTGTATCTGCTTATCAATGTCAAAATTTGGAATTTTTGTATTAATTTATCTTTTTTGTTGTTGTCTGTTTTTGGTCTGTTTTTTTGTGTTTGTTTGTTTATTCCTCCCAGAACATAAGCTCCATGAAGTCAGGGACTGTTGACCCCTGACATCTTATTGGTCATAGATTTCACAATGCCAACTATTGTTCCTAGGACATAATGGGTACTTAATAAATATCTGCTTAAGGAATGAATGAATGAATGAATGAGAGCAAGAGAAAGCAATATTTATGTAAAGTTGGTGAAAGGTTGGTTTGAGGTACTAAGTCACAAAATATAAATTTTCCTGGATATTTGTAAGTAAGAAAATTCCCTAATTAATCAGAGTAATTGGAGTTCCCCACTAGGATAAAGAAATATGAGGGAGCCCTAGTTCCAGGCACAGTTTAAGAAATTCTTTCCTAGATACTTGTCAGTGTTATATCTATCTATATCTATATCTATCTATATCTATATCTATATCTATATCTATATCTACATGATATGTATGGCATATATACGAAGAAAGAGAAAGGTAACTGTGCAGTACTGGAAGAGTATGGTGGGTAAGGGAATAAGTTGACTTTCTTCAAGGTAAATGCCAACATATACAGGATCAAAGTTGTAATAAGCAAAATCTTAGTGTTAAAATAGTGTAATATCTCAATGAAGTCAGACTGAATACATTAACAAAAGTGGATCAATCAGCAAAATGCGGCAGGACAGAGCATAGGGAATGGGTGGCAATGGAAACTTGGAAGAAGGAAGATCACAGAGGCAAACTCCATTCTTAGTTCTACCCAAAGGAAAGGGAATCATAGGCAATCTACTCCAAGTGTTATGATTCCTTTGGAAGGGCTCTGCTTATACTTTGCTGAGTGAGGAAAGGCCAAGGGCATTCTGGGAAGGAGGCAGTTTAGCTCCCTGCAATTACAGCTTTCATCTCTTTTCTCTCAGCACTTCATGATCGATTGTTCATCATTGTGATAGGGGATGGGCACTACAGGAGCACATGGGAGGGTCTTCTCAGTTGTGGTGTGACCTCAAGGTAGTATAAGTGGAATGATGTGGTCTTGATCACCCCCACATCTCTGCCAGCTTGCCATTCATGGTTGGTTGCATGTTTCAAGTGTTTTCTCCTTTATTTATTTATTTATAGATTAGTTTATCACAAGAGAATATTCTGTTGTAATTGTCAGCATCTGGAAGGAATCTTTTCTGTGTTTTCTGAGGTAGAGAAGATCACATCCAGGCTATTAGTCAAGGCTTTGTAAGACATTGTTTTTTGTTTGCTCTTCCTCCCACACCATCAGCAACTGCCTTTTTTTGTTTACCAGGTACACAATGAAG